TGATCTTCAAATTGTACCTCTTCACCAAAGAAACTTCCCATCTCAGCTGGAGATGCCAAGTAACTACAAATTACAAATACCTGGTTGTCCCTAATGAAGCAAAACCAACCAAAAAAAAATTCATTCAAAACATTAACAATCAAGTTAAATGCACAGCCAGGCAGTAGTGACACCTACTCAGGAGAGCAAATGAGCTGGATTTGGCCACTGCCAGCAAACAACATTTGAGCATATCCAATGGTTTCAGGACAGGGCTCCATGGGCCACAGAGGTAGAACTAATCTAATATAACATCTCCCAGCTCTAATCCTGACTCCACACTTCACATGTCTCAGTGAAAGAAGCAGGGATAAGTGAGTATCTGACAAAATTGTCCAAGTAGGGCAAAACTCTTATCTAGCCAACCTAAGCAATGTGAAGTTTCATCTCAGATTTTCCTTGAAATACTGCAGTAGGGATTCTAATTTGCAATGCTCACATCAAAAGAGAAGGAAATAAAAGCCATTTGAACTAAAGAAAGTCTTGCTGACTTGGCAAGAGCATTCGTCTTAACAGACAGGGAAGTGATTTGGAATTCTAGTTCTGTGTTAATACAATGTAGAAAGAAGAATTATTTGCACAAGGGGGTGCTCTTTGGTGCCTGTTGTGATTGCACTCTAGCTACAGACATTAACAGCTGGCAGAGAGCAGCTGGCAGAGACAGTTACAGTAGGAAGACCCCCTCCAGCATGGCACGTAGCAATGACAGAACCTTATTCTTGCAAGACACATGAAAGCTGGCAGTAGAAGAGGCTTCATGCAGTGTGTCCACATCCACACTGCAAGCACCACAGTCCAGCACATCCAGTTGAGTCACTGACCCTGTTGAGCAATTTCAGGAAAGTAGCTTCTCCTCTCTGTCCCTGGAAAATGGACAAGAAATCAAACCTGAAAAAGAAAGTAGAGAAGCCACCTGCCAAGATAAGTGTGGCCGGTTTGACACTAGGGACAGAGGGGACAGCAGATGGGAAGCAGAGCTCAGTTGTGGCAGATGCTCTGGACTGGAGGCAGGTCACAAACAGTGTGTTCACAGGAGACACCTGCCATCATTTCAATCAAGCCACCCCCAGAAGAAGCCCTGGGTGACCTTTCAGTATCACGCAAAAATGCTGCAGCAGAAGCGCGAACACAATCTGAATTTCAAAGGTAGCCTTTCTGTTGCCTTGCTGACAAGATCGTCCCATCTATTCCTGGAGAACCTCTAACCGAAATCACTAGTCACCAATCACCCTCAAACCCTTTCAGTGGGAGTCCTGACAGTCAAAAGCCCACTGCCCCACACAAGCATACTCACTCCCTAAAGGAGGATCTACCCGGGGCAGCAAATGAAGCAGAAGTGTCAGATAAACATATGGCACTTGGGATTTGCGACTGTGTGAAGCTTTTAAGGCAGATGAAAAGATCCACCTTTGCCCTACTACTTCACTAACAACAAACAACAACATTTTTGCCTAAATAATTTAAGCAGCTCTACACCTTTAAAAAAAAAGAAAGAAAGAAAGAAAAAGCAATCTGTAAAAACAATTAGGGTGCAATAATATTAACCACCTCAGAGGATGACAAGCCATTATACTACAGGTAAATTAGACACATTAGCCATTAGTGACTCTAATGACGATCTCATTCCTATTCCAACCACTTTGTAGTTCAAGATCCAGCCGTTTACCATCTGACTGACAGACCATTATTCAGCTTTGTCAGAGAGGAGAGCAGAGAGTTTGACTACCCTCAACCACTAATGACCTGAAATTTGAAGGACACTAATAGAAATAGCTTGCTGGTAAACTGTGCTCATCTCCAAATGCCCAGAATTTGAGGACTTTAAAGGCAACTATGATCAACTAAGGAAAGGATTTGGAGCAAGAGCTCTTTTGATAATGTCAGTTGTATCTTCAGGCTTTCCAGGTCCTACCCTTCCATCTAAGAACCAAGAGCTCTTGCACAGTCACTGCCCCACTGGCAGTGGGATTTGGCACACGCATCATGCCACGGTTACTCAGGGAAGCTGCATATGCAGAGTCAAGGCTGTGAGCACACTTTTAACACAGACTCACACTGGAGTCAAAGGCTTAATCCTGCTCATTTTGCTACTCCCACAGCTGCAGTAAGGCAAAACAGGCCTCGAAGGCAGCAATCTGTGACTATTTACAGAGGTTTTTATTTTTGAAAACCAGTTCTGCAAATCCATATCCAAAGACAAAACCCTCATGTAAGGGTGCACAAGCACCAGGACAGTCTGGGTTCTTGAATAAGCAAGAGTTTACATGGGTCAGATCTTTACACGAGGTTTCTGGCTGCAGAGGAGAAAGAGCGAGCAGTGGAGGTGGAGGAGTTCCCGGCACTCAGCTGAACCCAAATTACCTTCAGACATTTTTACTGATCTCACCAAGTTACTTAGTGAAGTTGTCTTTGATCCCAATACAGAAGGCAAACAGGGAATGAGATCTGAAAAGTGTGTTTCAATCAAGTTAATTACTTGGGGACAATAATCTACTTCAACAATAGGAGTCCAGCAAGTTTATAGGAGGTGAAAAACATGTCAAAACCATTTGACAAGACTCTCAAATGCTTTCTGTGCCTAGCAAAAACCTGGTTATTCAAACCCCTGTACAGTACTACAAATGCCATCATATTACACAAAGCAGTAATGTGAAAGTTTGCACTTTCTCATATAGATTTTTAACACGGACAAATTGAAATTTATTCTTCAAAACTGAGGAAAACCAAAATAGGTTGGCAACCAGAATTTGGCAGAAGAGCAAGCAGGAATGGCAATTAATGCCAATCTGAAATAATACATTAGATCCCATTTAATATTAGGCTTTTATGGAAAGCCATATTACTGTGAAGTCCGCACGTGGGATTTCTCTGAAGCTCTATACCTCCTTCCCAGATAAAATAGACTCACGTTCATAGGCGGCTTCCAGTAGAAACTGAAACTTGGAGGTTTTACAGTGCTCTTGCACAGAGACATCAGGACCACAGCAAAGAGCAGGAGATTGTTTCTGTTAATCACCCGACAATGTACAGCCACCTACCTGAGCTTCAATTTCATAACCTCCTACCAATACGAAGAGAAGCAAAAGTCCTATGTCACAGTTATTTGAAAACTGGCATACTCAATACATCTCTCACATGTACATTTCCTCTTTATAGCTTTATTTTTTTTTAAGCAGATTGATTTAAAGCTCATTGTATTAAGCACCTCACCAACTCATCAAGAGGCACATACAAGAAACAATAGCTCCTTTTGTTGCAAGAGACTTTCTTCAGTAGCATCTCTGAGCTAAATCACTCTGCTTAGGGAGTGGAAAAACATATGGGCGAGTGGAATAGCTGACAAGCCATGCAGAGTTTTTGTTACTAACCATGTGGTGGAAATGGTCTAAAAACTGTTTTTTAAACTGAAGCCGCAGCAGCATTGTCAATATTCAAACAACATTTGGTATACAAACATGAAAAATACTACATCAAACTCTCTCCTACACCACCTATCAGGGTTAGTTTTTTAAAAACCTAGATTTATCTACCCCCCAAAAAGGGAATCTGTGGTACCATGAGATTAACATGAATTAGTAACTGAGAAGATCAACCTAGTTTCTACTGTTATTGCTTTAGGAAAAGGATCATGCATCTGTACCTTATTGCTAGCTCTGTATTACAGAGAGAACTTCCGCCAGGCCTACGTAATGAGACAGTATTAACACATGCCTGCTTATCACCTCTCCTTGCTTATATTTCCTGCAAGCTTCAGAGCTAAAGGAGGAAAGTGCTTTTGAAAAAAACGTGAAGTTTCTGTTATCCCTGCAGATGAGATACTAAACAACCACGGTCCGGCTACAGTTCACGACAAAGGCAAGTTGAGTTGCATACAAAAAATATTGAAGAACATCAAATAACGCTGTACAACACTTTTAAGTGTACAACACTTAAAAAAAAAATAAGAAAAAATAAGAAAAAAATAAGAAAAGAATAAACTAAGTCCCTTGGAGAATTATTCATTTTGGCATTTATTAAAGAAAGAGGCCTTTTTGCAGGCAATTTGGTTACAAGTCACTCTGATCTTTCATTTGTTACTTAGAGGACAGAGAGAAAGCCCAGCTTCCTTCTGGGAAAGTGAGGGAAATCGACTTCTCTTCCAATTGTGTACATTTTACCCAGGCACACTGAGAAATTTTCGAGGGGATGCAAACCTCCTTCCACAGCACACGCTTTTCAGCCAGGGTCATTCAAACAATCCTCCCCGCTGCAGGGACCCGGCTCTCCACCGCTACCAGCTGTGGCACCCTGACTGCAACGTTCCTTCTTTCCCGTGCGGCTGGGGAAGGTGAAAAGGGCTCCCAGGATTATCGCCATTTCCCAGCCATGCCAAAAGAAAAGAGGAGGAAAAAAACCCAGAAGAGCCTTTTCACGTGGTTTCTATAATAAACCGCAGAGAGTCAAGGACCAACGCGGAGCTTCCAAAGTGTTCCGCTGCGCGAAGATGTCGGCAGGGATGCACATCCACGCAAACCTTCCCCCGCGGGTCCCCGGGAGCTGCAGGAGCTCCCCCCCCGGCAGTCACGGCCCGCAGGCGAAGCAGGCTCCGAGACCCCGCTCCGGTAGCGGCCAGAGGGGCTGCCGGTGCAGCCTTTCTCTAGAAAGCTATTGTTCAGGCAACCCTGCAAGCCTCCGAAACCTCAGCCCTCCTGGCAAAGGCGTCCAAGGTGGGTTTATTTCCCTGTGAGGAGACACAAGCCTCCATCCTCGGAGCTGAGACCCTTGTCCCTGCCGCAAGCAGAGACACCCAAAAAGTTTTGCTGGGCAAGAGGGGCCCTGACTGCCCTTCTCCTGATGGGAAAACAACAAAGACTTGGGTGGGAAAATACAAAGTTCGGGGCTCGGCTGGGTTGGGAGGGCTCTCGTCACCTGCCCTCCCGCTCCTCCGTCCCCGGCTGCCCTTGGGCCGCGCACAGCGCTACCTGAACAGGGCGACCGCAGTGTGATTCCTCTTCCACGCCTTGCCCTGCTGCAGCAGCACCCCCTGCACGATCTCCTTCTCGTCGGGCAGCCGGTAGACGGGGAAGATGTAGAGCCAGCAAAGCACGAAGACGCCCAGGGCGCTGGCCCCTACGGGCAGGCGGGTGCGTGGCCACTTCCACGCCAGCACCGCCATCCTCCTCCCGCAGCGCCGCCGCGGCGCCGGGCCGCGCTCCGGCATCAGGCCCGCGCCATGCGGGGCTGGGGGGACCCGGCCAGGCTCAGCCCCGCCGTCGCCCGCGCCCTAAGCCCCGCGGGCTTCCCTCCGCTTGCCGCCCGCGGACATAGCCGCCCAGCCGGCCGGGGGGGAGCCGGGCCCCCGCGGGCCTCGGGACTCCTGCCGGGGATGCTGCCAATGCTGCGCCGCGGCTGGCTCCTCTGTCGGCGGTGGCGGCTGCCGCCCTTCCTCACAGTCATTTGGTACCTCGCTTTCCCCGCCAGACGATGCTCCGGCGCTCCCCGCCCTCCCTCCCTTGCCTCCGCCTCCCGCCGATCCCTCTCTCTCGCTCAATCGCTCGCCGCCGCGCTGCGGACTACCCCGGTAAATTTCCACACACACCCCGGCCGCGGGGTACCCCGTACCCCGCCTCCGGGGAAGGGAGGGACGAACGTAGGAAGCGAGGGAACGGCGGCCGGAGAGCAGGCTGCTGCGGGGATGCGCTCCGCTCCCCTCCTGCCGTGCGGACCCGCGCCCCGCCTTCCTCCTGCTTCTCCCGCTTGACTCGCGGGCACCGGCCGAGAGCAGAGGAGGGAAGGGAGGATGTCCCGCTCCGGGATCGCCGCTGCGGGCAGCGCCCCAACACCCACTCTCCCTCCCGGCACCGCGCTTCCCCTCCGCAGCTGCCAGCCCCGGCAGCGCCGCTCTCCAGCGCTCCCTGCCGGACACCGGCCCCCTCCGGGCCGGCGACCCAGGCCCCTTCATCAGTCTCCCCTTCGTGCCTCCTCACTCCAAGTCTCCCTTCCGGGGTGCGGCAGCACTTCACGCCTGTTAGGTCCCTCGTAGTCAGCCCCAGGTCCAGGTCAGGGATCACCCTGCCCATCCGGGCAACGTACAGCCTATAAAGGTGTTTTCTGGTTAGTTTAGCAAAACCTGTCGAGGCCCCTGAATGTGGAAGTGGATGTGTCCTGTTCCCTTTGACGCCTTCATAAATCTCGATGCAAAACTCTTAATTATTTTTTTTTCTTCTTCCACGAAGTGGAGTGACTCATACACACATGCCCCACCCCTGTAAGTGTTCCGAGTCAGGCTGGACAGAGCTTTGAGCAACCTGGTCTAGTGGAAGGTGTCCCTGCCCATGGCAGGAGTGTTAGAACTAGATGATCTTTAAAGTCCCTTCTAACTCAAACCATTCTGTGACTCTATGAAACCTAAAACTAAAGCATGCTCCAGCCAGGAGCACTGTTACTGAAGCAGCAGCTCTGTGTCAGCATGTGCCCACTGGAGTGGCTTGGGTCTTTGAAGAAAACACACTGGGTTTATGCTCATGGGTTGGTTGAGGGCAGTTGCTGGGGCATCCCAGCCCTGCTGGGGTTGCTGCTGAAGTGCCAAGTGCATGAGAGAATGGGCATAGAGGCTGCCCACAAGCCAAAAAGCAGCAGCATGAGCCCTGCACACCTGCAGCAATGCCCAGCACAGGCTTCCCACCACAAACCCACAATGGGCCCTGCAGGACAAGAGTGCCCCATGTGTGGCCATCAGCCCTTCTAAACCAGCAGGGAGAGAATGGTTGCTTCATGCCAACACAATGACTCCAGCAGTACCTCTTTGTGGTAATCAGGTAGGCTGAAACATGGGAGATATGTTCAGCTTCTCTCAGTGAGGGTCTTGGAGGCAGTCCCCAGTTTCAGAGCCCAGTCACTAATACCTGGCTGATGCATGAAAGGCAAAGTCAGCCTGGGCTGGTGCCATTGGGTTTTGTTCAGCATTTCCAGACACACCTGTCAGACCCACTGAGAAACACCAAGGACTCCCATATAACCCTCGGAAGAGTTTTGTATGAATCCGTAGCCAGATGCTTTCCAGACCTCTAGGACCATAGAGGGATTTGGCTTCTTTGGGCACTTTCAGGGTTGAGCAATAACTAAGGAATGGCTTTGACAGCCTGAAACTTGGGAGACTCAGGGTAGCAGCCTTGCGAGACAGCAGTTGGCCTCTAGCGTGGCTCAAGGCATGTCCGCACAGCACATCTTGCAGGGACATGTCAACCATGGCAGGTGGGAGCTGGGGAAGGAAGTACAACCCAACTCATCCGCTAACATTGCCAGAAGCACAGTGATACATTGGAAGGCTGCTGCTGGTCACCTAGCAAACGGTGGCTAAAAAAGGAAGGTGAAGGTGAAGGTGAAGGTGAAGGTGAAGGTGGAGGTGGAGGTGGAGGTGAGGGGAGGTGAGGGGAGGTGAGGGGAGGTGAGGGGAGGTGAGGGGAGGTGAGGGGAGGTGAGGGGAGGAGAGGAGAGGAGAGGAGAGGAGAGGAGAGGAGAGGAGAGGAGAGGAGAGGAGAGGAGAGGAGAGGAGAGGAGAGGAGAGGAGAGGAGAGGAGAGGAGAGGAGAGGAGAGGAGAGGAGAGGAGAGGAGAGGAGAGGAGAGGAGAGGAGAGGAGAGGAGAGGAGAGGAGAGGAGAGGAGAGGAGAGGAGAGGAGAGGAGAGGAGAGGAGAGGAGAGAGAGGAGAGGAGAGGAGAGGAGAGGAGAGGAGAGGAAAGGAAAGGAAAGGAAAGGAAAGGAAAGGAAAGGAAAGGAAAGGAAAGGAAAGGAAAGGAAAGGAAAGGAAAGGAAAGGAAAGGAAAGGAAAGGAAAGGAAAGGAAAGGAAAGGAAAGGAAAGGAAAGGAAAGGAAAGGAAAGGAAAGGAAAGGAAAGGAAAGGAAAGGAAAGGAAAGGAAAGGAAAGGAAAGGAAAGGAAAGGAAAGGAAAGGAAAGGAAAGGAAAGGAAAGGAAAGGAAAGGAAAGGAAAGGAAAGGAAAGGAAAGGAAAGGAAAGGAAAGGAAAGGAAAGGAAAGGAAAGGAGGCAGGAAGGAAGACAGGAAAGAAGGCAGTTTGACACAGTTTAGTACATCCTGGCCATAGGTAACAATATAATTATCATAAATTCTAGCTGGCTGTTCATACAGCATTTTTTTGATAGAGATCCTAAACAGACACTGCTTACTTCTCAATAAAAAATAAACATGGAAATGACGGTACACTTTCAGTGCTTGAGATGAGGAAAAACCTTCTCTCTCTCATAGCGTGTTCCTGTTGAGAAATATGTACTGACAAAAAGAATATTAACATAATGATGTCTAATGAACACAAAATTGCCAGAAACTTGTAAGTGCATAAGAAATATTGGTTTCATTCATATCTGATATGCTAGAGTTGTCATAGAAAATGACATTAGAAATAGCAATAGGGCTGTTTTCTTTGGACAAAATGGGAAAAGAAATTGAGCGAGGCATTTTGGTCAGCATCTGACAAAAAAGTATTTTGAGCAGGATAAATATTTTCATTTTGGTTAGGAAGCTATTTACCAACAACAAAACAAACCCAAACCTGTCCAGTCACCTCTATTAAAACCAAACAGAACCATTCAGTCTCTGGAGACTAATTCAAAACATAGCTAACTGGACTCTTAAAAAGAGGAAAAAAAGAGGGAGTGAAATGTGCAAAACTGTATTCCAAATTCAATTCTGCCTTTTTGCTCACCTTTAGCTGAGACGAGAGACAAACCAGAGGCTCAGTGTTGCTTGGGAAACCAGAAAGTGGAAAAGAACAAGAGAAAGTAGGAATGACTGTTATGCTTTCACTGTCCAAACTGCTTGCAATGGTATAAGTCAAACTAAAACTGCTACAACTGGTTGTTAATTTCTTCAGTAATGTAGTCCCTCGTAGGGAGGGATGGTTTATTTAATAAAGGGGTTTTACTCTTGTGCAATGAGACAGTATTTTGGGATATCTTTTATTTGTGAACCTGTGCAATATTCCTAAGCTTTTCCTCTGCTTTTTCTGAATCTATTTCAGCATGAAGCCCCCAGGCTCTTCACTGAATGTACGACAGTCCATGGTCTGTATAATGCCGTGGCAACAGCTCCATCACTGTGCCCTGACTGCCACCTGTGAGGAGGCAGCTGGATTGAGACAGGGATGAGGCAGAGCTTGTTAGGTTGCTACAGAATGATCACAGGGAATTGGAAATGCTTGGCCTTGTTCTGCTCTCGGACAAGTGGAAATTAGAGATACATCAGGACAAGATCAAAGCCAGGTCTTTTACTCAATAGTCAAATCTATTTCTAGGCAACATTATCAATCTCTGTCCTTTCCTTCCATCAGTGAGCCCCGAAGAGAAGCACATCAGTGCTCATTTCTGCTGAGGATAACAGTTTATGGTGAGGAATAAACAGAAGGTAAGAATAAACTGTCAAACATGAATCTTGCTTGCAAGCAGATAGTCTTAAGTAGCTCAATGACATTTTGCAATCATTGAGAAGATGTAGAGATGTGGTGATCAACAATCCATGTCTTTAAATAGAATCAAAAAATTGAAATTCAGTCATGATTCTTCTCTGTTGTACTCCGTTTTAGTGTGAATTGAGTGGTGAGATTCAACCTCACCTCTACTGCTTTGGTCCCAAGATCCCCAGCCAGAAAGGCTAGTTATTCTGGGCGCGTGGTTTTCCTGGTTCACTTTAAAATGCATCTGCATCTCGTGTCTTCTATTGCTTGTTTCTTTGCTGAGCCTTTTCCTTCACAGAGGGTGCATCCTTGAGCCCCCTACCCTCCTGATCCACCATTCACATTTCCTCCTCTGCCCCTGAGATGGACATGATACTCTGCTCAGCTGCTTCATGCTGCTGCTGCAGCTGAGAAAGCCCTGCTTGGGAAAACTGGGGGAAAACTTTTTCCAAGTATTACAAAGTAGAATCTCTTCTTTCCCTCATCCTCAGCCCAAAACACACACAAAAGTCAGAGCTGCATCCTTCAATAAATCCAGTCTTTGCTTGCTTTCATTTGTAGAATCTTGTACTCCTGCACACATCCCATTGTATCTTGTCTTTGCTCCCTTTCAAGCCCTCTCACTTCCAAAAGAACAGGGCTTTCCCTTCCACTTCAGCATCCCACTCACTCTCTGCTCTGCTGAATTTAACAGAGCTGTTGCATTGGAATCATCTTTCAGGCTATGGCATGCTTTCTATTGATGAAAGTGCTACAATGCCATATTCCCACAAGGCATATTCGTTATCTTTCGAATGCACCCAGTTACCACCTGACTAAAACACCTTGCTTTACGCTGGGCCTTCAGTTCTGCAAGTATTTCATGCTCCAG